GGATGGTCAGAAGGTCCTGGGGTTTGAAGGAGACTTCTTTGGATGTTGGGCTGTCCTGATGGGGGGATTTTGAGGGGATTAAAAGGGGGTTGGGGGGGTGCACGTAAAAGAGGGCTTTGGGAGGGGGGGGCTTGGGGGATCTGGGGGATTCTGAAGGGCATTGAAGGCATTAAGAGACATCTGGGGGATCCTGGGTGGGTGGTGATATGGGGGGGAGGGAGCTTCTGAGTGAGAGCTGAGGGCATTGCGGGGGGGTCATGGGGGGAGATCCTGATTGGTTGGGGTCATCATCCCCCCCCCCCCCCCCCCTTATGTGCCCCCCACCTCCCAGGTTTTGGAGATGACCTCAACTGCATCTTCAACGACGACAACGCCGAGAAGTTGGTGCTGCGCATCCGCATCATGAACAGCGACGAGAACAAGATGCAGGAGGTGGGAGTGCTGCAACCACCCCCCCTCTGTCACCACCCTGTCGCTCGGTGCCACCCCAGTGCTTTGCCAGTTTGGTGTCACCCAGCTGTCACCCCTTTGTCACCCATAGTGACCCTCCCCGTGTCACTCCTTTCCCCTATGTCAGTCAGTGTCACCCCTCCATCACTTGGTGTCACCCCTCGTGTCACCCCTCGTGTCACCCCTCGTGTCACCCCTCGTGTCACCCCTCGTGTCACCCCGTGCCATTTCTCTGTTCCGTGGTGTCACCCCTTGTTCAGTCCCCTGCCGTCTCTGCTGTCACCGTGTTGTCAGTCACCCCCCCATCACCCCACTGCCACCCAGTGCCACTTCTCTGTCACTTGGTGTCACATATCTTTGTCGGACCCCCGGTGTCACCCGTTGTCACCTGCTGCCTGCAGGAGGAGGAGGTGGTGGACAAGATGGATGACGACGTGTTCCTGCGCTGCATCGAGTCCAACATGCTGACCGACATGACGCTGCAGGGCATCGAGCAGATCAGCAAGGTGCTGGGGGAGCACCCAGGGGTGCTGCTGGGGGTGGGTGTTGGAACCCAGGGAGGTGTTTTGGGGTCCCTCCAGGTGCCCGAGGAGCACCCACGGGTGCTTATTGGGGTTGGGTGTAGGAACTCTTGATGGCGTTTGGGTGCTGTCCTATAGATCCGTTGGAGCACCCACGAGTGCTCAGAGTACACCCTGTGGGATCCCAAGGAGATAATTGGGGTCCTCCAAGTGCACTGGAGCACCCATGGGTGCTCGTGGTGGTGGCTGGCGGGAGGTTTCAGGGTTGCCAGGTGCTCTGCCACTGCACAGGAGCACCCATGGGTGCTGATCCCCTCTCCTCCCCCAGGTGTACATGCACCTGCCCCAGACAGACAACAAGAAGAAGATCATCATCACAGAGGATGGGGAGTTCAAGGCACTGCAGGAGTGGATCCTGGAGACTGACGGCGTCAGTCTGATGCGGGTGTTGAGCGAGAAGGACGTGGACCCGGTGCGCACCACCTCCAATGACATCGTCGAGATCTTCACTGTGAGTCGGGTGACGCTGCAGTGTGCTGGGTGACACCCATGGGTTCCTCTGTAGGTGTTGGGGATGGTCCTCAGGGACCACCGTTCCAGGTGTTGCACTCTGCAGGTGTTGAGGATGGTTCTGGGGGTTTTGGGGTGATGCTACAGCATTCTGGGTGTCACCTACCCACAGGTATTGGGGACAGTCCTCAGGACTGGTGGGTGACACTGCAATGTGCCAGGTGTCACCCTCAGGTGTTCTCTGCAGGTGTTGGAGGATGGTCCTTGGGATCTTAGGGTGACGCTACAGTGTCACCTTTCGTTAGGTGTTGGGGACCGTCCTCGGGGTGTTGGAATGATGCTGCAGTATTCCAGGTGTGCTCTGAAGGTGTTGGGGATGGTCTTCAGGGTGTTGGGGTGACACTGCAGCGTGCCAGGTGTTGCACTCTACAGGTGTTTGAGTGATGCTACAGCATTCTGCCTGTCACCTTCCCGCAGGGGACAGTCCTCGGGGTGTTGGGTGTAGCGTGCCAGGTGTCAGCTGTGGGTGTCCTTCGCTAGTGTTGGGGACAGTCCTCAGGGTGTAGGGGTGACACCGCAGCGTGCCAGGTGTTGCACTCTACAGGTGTTGGGGATGGTCCTTGGGGTGTTGGTGTGATGCCACAGCGTTCTGGTGTCCCCCCGTTCAGGTGTTGGGCATCGAGGCGGTGCGCAAGGCTCTGGAGCGGGAGCTGTACCACGTCATCTCCTTTGATGGTTCGTACGTCAACTACCGTCACCTGGCCCTGCTGTGTGACACCATGACGTCCAGGGGACACCTGATGGCCATCACCAGGCACGGTGTCAACCGGCAGGACACCGGGCCACTCATGAAGTGCTCCTTTGAGGAGACGGTCAGCGGCTGTGTGGGGTGTCTGTGGGGTGTTCGCAGGGTGTCTGTGGGGTCTTGGGGTTGCTGCCCGCATTTTTGGGGTTATAATGCCCCAATTTAGGGGGTTACAGTACCCTTTTTGGGGATTGCAATCCCTGATCTTGGGATTGCTGCACCCATTTTGGAATTAATAACTATTTTTGGGGTGACTTCACCCATTTTTGGGGTTATAATACCTTTTCTTGAGATTACAGTGCCTGCTCTGCGGGGTCACCATCCCCTTTTATTGATATTGCTGTGCTCATTTGGGGGGTTAATGCTTATTTTTGGGGTTACTTTACCCATTTTTTGGATTGTAATACCCACTTTTGGGGCTACAGTCTCCATTTTTGGAGTTGCTGTACCTGTTTTGTTGTTGACCAGTTTCTGGGGTCAGAAGACCCCTTTCTGGGGTTGCTGCACTCATTTTTAGGATTACAATACCTGTTTTGGGGGTCACATCCCCATTTCTGGGGTTTGGATGCAAGTTTTTGAGGTCACCATCCCCATTTCTGGGGTTGAGATGCCAGATTTTGGGGTCACCATCCCCAGTTCTGTGGTCTGGACATTGGTTTTTGGGGTCACCATCCCCATTTCTGGGGTTGGGATGCCAGTTTCTGGGGTCACCATCCCAATTTCTTGGGTCAGATGCCAGATTTTGCATTCACCATCCCAATTTCTAGAGTCGAGGTGCCAGATTTTGTGGTCACCATCCCCACTTCTGAGGTCTGGATGTCAGTTTTTGGGGTCACCCTCCCCATTTCTGGGGTCATATGCCAAATTTTGCATTCGCCATCCCAATTTCTGGGGTTGAGGTGCCAGATTTTGCGGTCACCATCCCCATTTCTGGGGTCGAGGTGCTGGTTTTTGAGGTCACCATTCTCATTTCTGGGGTCTGGACGTCAGTTTTTGGGGTCACCATCCCCACTTCTGGGGTCTGACTCCCCGGGGTCCCACAGGTGGACGTGCTGATGGAGGCAGCAGCGCACGGCGAGAGCGACCCGATGAAAGGGGTGTCAGAGAACATCATGCTGGGACAGCTGGCCCCCGCTGGCACCGGCTGCTTCGACCTGCTGCTGGATGCTGAGAAGTGCAAGCATGGCATGGAGATCCCCAGTGCCATCCCCGGCCTGGGAGTGGGCGGCTGTGAGTCGGGGGGTGGTGGCTGTAGCTGCCTGTGTGATGGGTGGGTGACAGCAGGGGGCACTGGGAGGCTCAGGGGCTGTAAGGCGTCTGTCTGATGTGCGGGTGACGCTCTGGAGTCCCTGCATTGGAATTGAGGGGTCCCCATTTTTGGGGTCCCCGCAGTGGGTTGTCCAGCCTACCCCCGGGCTGGACAAACTGAGAGCCCTGAGGGATCCAAGCTTTGGGGTCCCTGCTTTGGGACTAGCGGCGTCCCCATGGAACCCCAATTTTGGGGTCCTTGCAATGGGATTGTAGTGACCCCATGCTGGGATGGGGGGGCCCCCATAGAAGCCCAACTTTGGGTTCCCTGTAGTGGAATTGGGGAGCCCCCGTGGAACCCCATTTTGTGTTCCCTGCAGTGAGATTGTAGGGACCTCAGGTTGAGATTAGGGGGTCCCCATCTTTGGGATCCCTGCAGGGGGTGACCTGTCTCTGAGGGAACTTCAACTTCGGGGTCCCCACTTTGGGACTGGGGGGGTCCCACATTTTGGGGTCCCTCCCACTGCTTTTCTCTCCCCGCAGCCACCGGGATGTTCTTCGGCTCGGCACCCAGCCCCATGGGGAACATGTCCCCCGCCATGACGCCCTGGAACCAGGGGGCCACTCCTGCCTATGGGGCCTGGTCCCCCAGTGTGGGTGCGTGGGGGTGTGGTGAGAGGGAGGCGTACTGGGGAGGTTGGGCGGGGGGGT